CTAGAAGTGGTAAACGCGACACAGAAACTGAATCCAAAGAAATCTCCAACAATGTGATACCAGATCACCAATTCGGCTTTCGTGGAAAGCATAGTATTGTACTATCGAACAAGTTAACCGAATAACTAATGAAATCGGAAAGGCATTCGAGCTCAAGGAGTACTGTTGTGCAATCTTTCTTGACGGGGCACAACCGTTCGACAAAGTCTGGCATAAAGGTTTACTGTACAAAATATATAAAGCTCTGACTGTTCAACTTTATATGATACTTAAGGCATATCTGACTAACAGACAAATTTACCATTAAACAATCTGAATTTATCAGTGATGAGTATCCGGTAAAAGCTGGTGTTCCGTAAGGTAACGTCCTCGGGCCTATTTTATATATCATATACACTGCGGACATCCCATTAAAAAGAAAAGTGCAGACATCTTTGCGGATGACACAGCTATTTTCTGCCGGGATAAATGCCCTAAAAGAGCAGCCAAAACGATTAGTGATCATTTACTCCTCATCGAAGAATGGTTAAAAAACTGGAGAATTAAAGTTAATAAACAAAAGTGTAAACACGTTACATTTACTTTGAGACCGCAATCATGTCCTGCAATTCGCTTAAATGGTATAAATATTCCCCAAGTAAATGATGTTGCATATCTCGGTATACACTTAGATAGGCCTCTCATTTGGAAGAGACGCATAGAGGCAAAAATACTACGCATGAAGCAGCTAGTTTAAATTTGCGCTTAAATAAAAACTCCGCAGTAATAAAACCAATTTGGTTGTATAGTATTCAACTGTAGGGCACGACCTGTGCAACTAGTATTGATAAAATACAGAGGTTCCAGTCCAAAATTTTAAGAGCACTAAAGGACGCACCATGGTAAGTTCTTAACGTTAACATTCATCAAGACCTTGGTATTTTACTAATTAAGCCTGAAATTGAAAGAAACAGGACGAAGTACTTCACAAAACTAAGAAATCATCCAAATCCGCTAGCTGGCCCATCGAGAAATTCCCACCTGCAGCGAAGAGATGTTCCCTCCTTTTAAGGAGAGCGCGGTTGTTTGTAAAGGGCTCAGAGTTAAATAACTCGACTGATAGCTTGTTTCTAATTTTGTTTTTTTTTTTTAAATTTTTACACTTACTGTTAGGATTATATAAATATACTAGCTGACCCGGCAAACGTTGTTTTGCCATATAAATAATTTCCTAGTAATTTCTAGTGTAGACAAAAAATACAATAGCTTACTTATTGTAAGTATGTATGTATGTTAGAATGTGTATATTGTATGTATGTAAGAATGTGGTATATGCGTGAAATAAGCATGGAGCGCTGTGAACGATGAGGGAATATAAAAATAACAAAAGGCAAACATTATTTTTAAGTTATTATAATTTATTCCTTAAAATTATATATCATTAATTAAACAATTACGACAGTAACACTATTAAACAATATCAATCTCTTAATGCTATAGCGTGAACAATATTTTTTGTTAGTACATCTTTAGCTAACACAAACAAACTTTATGGTTGACCCACTCGAGAGCATGCCACGTATAATTGTCCGTGTGAAAAACATGGTGTTCTCAAATCTAAGCCACAAACAGCCATCGGTTGACCTTGGGATTTGTTGATAGTCTTTGCAAATGCCAATCTAATCGGAAACTGTATACGTTTCAATTGAATTGGCACATCTGTAGGTATAATAGGAATCCGTGGTATGAGTATAACTTGCCATTTAAAGTCCTGGCTTCGATCACGTTTTTCATTAATTTTTGAATGACTAATCGCGCACCGTTGCACAGCCGGGGCGGGTTCAAACTACGAAGCAAGATAATTGGCGATCCACCCTTTAATTGCAAATTATGCGGTGGTATGCCCTGCAAATCCAGTGAGTTCAAAAACTCTGTGGGAGAATTTACTGCTTCGCTGTCGTCGCAAACTGTATCATTAGATTTATATGATACCAAGTTCCCTGCCAACAATATTTGTATCTTCAGATTTAAATGGTAAACGTCTACATTTTTTGCCGCTAAAATTGCTCTTTCTGCAAGCCACTCATGATTTATGTACTGTGTGTGTACGTATCCAGTTTCATCTATAGTAACTTTCCCATTACCGATATCTAATAGTTGTTTTGAAAATGTTTCAGCGGATGGATCTTGAAGCATTTGAACGCGCATACTTATTTTTAGCTGTAATTTTTCAACATTACGCCATAATTGAGATGATTTTAAGTAAGCGTTAATCTCATCAGCGTATGTTGAACGTGGAATGACTGGAAGTGTTTGCCTGAAATCACCTGAAAGGACCAACAGAGTTCCGCCAAATAGTTTGTCGTTGTTTTTAATATCTTTCAATGTCCTGTTCAACGCCTCAAGTGAATGTTTTTGTGCCAAGTACATTCATCCCAAATAATAATTTTACACCCTTTCAGCACAGTGGTCGTGGACGATTGTTTCTTAATGTTGCATACTACGTCAGGGTTATTCTGAATATTTAGTGGGATCTTAAAAACTGAATGAGCTGTTCTACCTCCATCCAATAAAGTTGCTGCAATGCCCGATGATGCAACGGCCAATGCGATGCCATTATTTGATCGCATTTCAGCAAGAATTTGCGAAATAACGATTGTTTTGCCAGTTCCACCCGGTGCAACCAAAAAGAAGAACCCACCTTGTCCAGCTGGAACTGCGAGCGTAATGCGATCATAAATGGTTCTTTGCTCCTCATTCATTAGTGGGACATTGCTGGCAACAATCGCTGCCATTTCTACAGTACTGTACTGCAGTTCACGATTCATTTCCGTTTTCATTAAATCAGATGCAGTTCGATTTGGCGAATTCATACCGAAATTACTAAATGGTAAGTTGGCAATGACAATGCAAAGATCCTCAATACCAATCGTGGCACCGTATACGATGTTTATGCAATATATCATGATTTTCCCATAATATCTGTGCTCGGGCTGGGAAACATGTAGTCAACACTATAGCGAATAGTTGACGATTTTTTATTGCTGCACAGTTCAATGCAGCTTCAGCAAGCATGCATTCCCACTGGTTGTCGTCTTCCACCAAGCCGGGTGCAAGGCATGTATCTTTATACGTTTTATATTGTTGCCCATTCAATTACGTATATTTTGAAATGATAATGGGCCAGTAACATTAACCAACAACAGTCGAAGATAAAAGCACTGAGTGTGTCTTGGATTGACTGTAAATAATCGCCTAAGGCGTTTGATTTAAATAAATTGAGACATGCAGCAACTGGTGAGCCTTGCTTGCGGGGCATCCATGTTTTTGTTTGAGTCCATGTGAAATAGCGTGGTACTTGTGAATAGAGTANAACTGTGTTGTGCTACATTAACAACAATAAACTGGTGAACTACTTCTACAAATAACCAACTGGTATGTTTCCCCCTTTAAATATTAGTTTTTAACTAGAGTTTTTGCACATTAATCTACCTTCGCCCTGCTGGGTAATTTTAGGTAAATATGCCATTTTTAATATAATATTTACACACACACACATATACCCTTTCATACATATGTATGTATGTGTGACTTTATGTGCCCTTTGTCTTTGTACTGAGCCTGCAGTCAACTTTTAAGTTCGTAGTCCCGCTGGCGGCACAGCGCATTGCAGCTAACCAGCTTGCTCCCGGCATATTCCCGATCGTGCATACTATACTCGTATACATATACATATGTATGTGTGTATTTGTGCACGTCGACAATAACAATAAATAAATTTTCTGCATTCATTGGCTTGACGCAAAGCGTTGATGGGTTGCAGTACTGTTCTGGAAGACATGCACAAATACAAACATACGCACACCTTTGTTCATTTTTATGCAAACACATATTCTTACATTCGTATATATGTATGTGTATATGCATATTTGCTGGCGAGTTATTACTCAGTTGGTAAATTAACTTTTTAATGTTGTGTTATTTGCACTTTGTTGCGGCTGCTTGCCGTTAATTAAGCACTTTAAATGGTTTTTCTGTGAATTGCATTCAGTTTTTATTTTTTTTTTTTCATTTATACCTGCCTTCTTTCTCCTCTGTTATGCACTTCTGTTGCCATACGAGATTTTTCTTGCGCTAAGAGCATATTGTAGTGCATATTTTGAGGCGTTCACACCGGTTCGCCGCTATGCGCTGTCATTTGTGGAAAGCAAATAATATACGAAGCATAATGCAATTATTTAATAATAAATGGGCTACCAGTTCGATGAACTGCCATAGTTGTGCTTACTAGAAATAAAGAGATTAAATGTAAATAAATCATTAAAAATTTTGAGTTCAGGAGAAAGCTACAGAACTGCACAAAAGAACTACAGTCGTCTAGAAGAGCGTTGACAACGCTTACGCGATTATAGCCGAATCAATATTAGCGTGCCATTTATCTCTTCTTTCCGCTGTCTGGAAATACCAAGTGAAGCCAGGTCACTTACCACCTGATCCTTTCAACGGAATGGAGGTATTCCTCTTCCTCGAATACTTTCAAAGCTGAAATATTTTTATCCATCCGGACCACACGACCTAGCTCATAGCTCCATCATCTACGGTATTCTCCATTGCCAATGCGCAAAGGACCATAAATCTTTCGCAAAACTTTTCTTTCGAAGACTCCTAGAGCCGACTCATCAGATATTGATATTTTCAACTCTTCAGCGCCATATATTGGGAGGGGTATGATGCGCCACTTGTAGAGTTTGGTTTTCATTCGCCGAGAGAGGACTCTACTTTTCAATTGCCTGCTCAATCCAAAGTAGCACCTGCTGGCGAGAGTGATTCTGCGTTGTATTTCCATGCTGTAATTGTTGTTGGTGTTAAAAATGGTTCCAAGATAGACAAAGTTAACAACGATTTCAAAGTTATTACTGTCAGCAGTGGCATGGGAGTGAAGTTGCGAAAGTTATGGCAGTTTGTTTGATGACAGGAGATATTTCGTCTTGCCCCCATTCACTACCACACGCATTCGCTTCGCTTTTCTATCAAGTAAAGTCGATATCTTCGCAGTACGCCAGCGTCTTTAGAAGAGGTTCTTCCCGTGTCTTAAGGAGCCTTTAGTGTTGCTTAACGTCAGTTCACATAGCCTTATAAGTTTTGCGGGGATACCAAATTCAGACAGAGCGTCGTAAAAGCAACTCCTTCTCGTGCTGTCGAAGGCTGCTTCTTCTCCCGGGTCTATTCCAAGATTTCGCGGATGGTGAATATCTGGTCAATGGGTGACTTACCAGGTCTGAAACCACACTGATAAGGTCCAATTCCTTTTTTTGACGGTGGTCTTCAGTCTCTTTCACAATACACTCAACAGGACCTTACATGCGATGTTAGGAAGGTTTATTCCACGGTAATTGGAGCAGACTGTGCGATGGTTTTTTTTTGTGCCTGGGCAGAGCACACTTAGGATCCAATCGTCCGGCATGCTTCCATCTGACCATATTTTGCCAAGCTAGGCACCTGATCAGTTTTTCATCGCCGTATTTAAATAGCTTGATCAGTAATCCATCGGTCCCCGCCGCTTTGTTGTTATTTAGACGAGCGATTGCTACGGTCTAGAAACATTCCGCAAGTCGTCGTATATTTTCGTAGAACTTTCGAGCGTAACCCCTGTGGGCCAGCTTTTCAAGCTCGTATCCACGCAGTTCAACCTCATCCTTTTTTTCGCAGCAAATGCGTCTTGCTTCCCTCTTCAGGTCTCGGTATCTATCACACGCCGCCCGTTGCAGATTGTCATCGTATCAACTGTTTTTCCACCTTTCTGAAATCCAATAGTTTATTTTGCAGCAGTACGTAGGGATTTGCAAAGCTGTGCCACAGTTCCCATCAACCGGCGTTACGTCAATGATTTTTGGTGTAAGGTCGGTTGGAGTTGTCAGTTTGCCTATCGTCTGTCCCTCATATAGTCGTACGTATAATGTCTGCTTTTACGTTTGTTCGTCATTGTTCTATCGTCTCTCTCCATTTCCACCTTGTTGCACCAGTGCAACACCCACCCCAAAAAAAACCGATTACTCCTGCATAGTATTAAGGAATTCAATCACATTGTATATTTTTTAGCATAAGGCTATTTTGACAATGTATTTACTGATACTTAAGTCTAATACCTATTTATATTATTTTTTACACCAAAAAGATTCCAAAAATCTCAATAACTCAAATGATAATAACTATAATATAACAAATAAATACAGTAACATGTAGTACATGTTTTTTTATCTATATTACTTACATATATATATGCCCTAGCTGTACAACATTTCCAAGTCCCCGGACCTCTTTCCAGAGAGAAGAATAGCATTCAAGTCAATCTAAGTAAATGGCCACTTATGTGGCCGAACTATAAAAAACTTTTTTAAAAGTCTTCCTGTTCATCTGAGCAAAAAGACACCTATATATCGAATTTCAAGCAAACTGAATAATAAATGCGATTTTTTTTATAGGTCAGTCCCACGTCTACATTTCGAAAAGAAGTGTAGTCTTTCTGTTAATTTATTCAAAAAGGCACCTGTGTACCGAATTTTTAGTAAATCGAACCATAAATGAGATGTTTTCGAATAGGTCACTTCCTGGAATCTCAGAAATCTGAGAAATAATCTGACTTGAATTAAAGTCATTGGAAAATTTTCCGGAAATAATAGAGATAATCTTACGAAATTTTAAGTCATGAATTTTGGGAATTACTGGATTTACTGGACTTTATCCAAAACCCTTTACCTAGATCAGCAATTTTTCTTACTAACCCACTAAAAAAATATTTATATTTATTACTACAAAACTCGACTAATAAAGAAGTAATGATTACTTCATCCATTTCGGTCATAAAGTGATCAATGACGGCATGTTTGTTAGTTTTGGTTTTCTCGCTTATTGACATATTTTGAAGCTATAAACGAGTTATGAAAAAATACCAAAAAGTATCAATAAAGGATAAAACATAACGGCTAATCATAACAGTTAATTGTTGTGAAATTCTTTTAGGGCCAATTTTTTAGACTTTGATAAAGAGAAAAATTGATTGAATTTCTTAATATAATTTTATAATACTTCTAGACTTACTACATAAATACGAGGATTGATAAGGTCAAACTGAAGAAGTTCTTATTAAAAATGTTTCACGGATGGAGGTCAAAAAGAGCTTCAAAAATACTCCATTTGCTCTCCTTTACGAGCTCAAAAGTGTTCGCCCGTAAGGACATGTAATATTGAAAAGGAGTAATAAATGCATGAGGCTCGGAGATTTGGGAGTAATCCATTACTCGTAAAGGAGTTATCAATTTTTTACTGGTATCTTTTCATATGTATGTATATCCATAATTCTTTGTGTCTACTGAAATAAATATTCTCCTGTGAGATTTGTTGGGTAGGAACCAGGCACAACTCGAATTTGGTTTCCACATCTTTAAGGCCCCCTTTGTAAAACTACTTTTTTGTAACTGTAATTTAAAATAGCAAACTTTGATTTTTAAGCTAACGGCATCAATTTTAATTTTTGATGTTTCGACTACTCAAACCGCATGCTGGTGGTTATACACATTTATGTACGTATAAGCACATTCGTTTTCCTATAATTGCATCAGAAAATCAAATGAAGATAAAATGTCGCCAAACGTGAATACGCAGTAAAGAAAATTGTTAAGGCACAAAACAATATTACTAAAAAAGGAACGAAAAAGAATCGCAAGAGGGAAGAAAGCTATTCCATTTATATAACCAAAGTGTTAAAAGAAGTACATCTAGATTGTTAGCTCCACCTATACCTCACCCATAATATCCATCCGACAGCACCCGATAAATTTCCTTTTAGCATACTACTTCATTTGTTTATGTATAAGTATGCAACATAACGTTTTAACTTTAAGTATTCAATTTAGAATAATCATTCGCAGCGCCAAAGCCGACAAGAATATACCACATAAAACCCGCG